GGATGTCGGGCTCGGCCAACTTCGCGGCCACTTCTGGGGCTAAGACCGGCATATCCGTGGAAAACTCCGGGAATAAAGAGCGGGGGAAAAGCAGGACGGCCATTAAGGGGCGGATCGAGTTGGCCGTAGTCGATCCTCCGTGTCTTCGGTGTTTGCGAGGGGACGAAGGGGGCGAAAGGGAGTCAGGGATGGCGAACCTCCTCGCATTATGCTAACGCCTTCCGCAGTGCACCCCCTAGGCATCTAGTGATGCCCCCTGGCGCGACAACCCCTGCACCCCTGTGTACCCCGATGCACCGCCGATGCCCTCGCGCGTTGCGTGCTCGCATATTTCACCCTCACCCCCTCACCCTACCCTACCTCGGATGCAGTTCCCTCCCCTGGTCGGCTATTCGCTTTTCTTGCCTCCGTTTCGCTCTCCGCAATTTCGGGAACCCCGCTCGATCCTTCCGCAAAGACCCGACAAGAACCGGGGACATCCTTCCGACCGACAAATTATACGAGGACGAGTCTACGCGATTTGTCCTCGACTTCGAGGATGAACGGGGGCGGCGATGCTTCTCTTCGCCTTGGTTTGGGAGATTTCGACGATCCTGAGATCGAGAAAGGGACGTTTCATAAAAAGAGATTTACGTGGAAAGTCCTTACAGGAAATCCTCTACTTTGTTCTTGTTCCTTAATGCAGAAAATTAAAGGTAGCATGACGTTTAAATTAGGCGCCAAGCACGGGTAGATAGGCGTCGAGTTATCGGTGACAACGATAAAGAGGTCGCGCGAAATTATCAGACCTATTGCGGCACGGCCGAATGAAGTCATGCAGCAGGACTGTAACACGTCGTACGTCATTTCCGTTAACCTCGCGATATGATAAAACAAGCCGTGATATAATGACACTTTCCTTATCGCGGGCGGTGCATAATGCACATTGCACGCGATGCACCAGACAGGTAATACAAAGTGCAGAAAAATAAAAGAGTGGGGGGATGGGAAAAGCTAACTGCGGGATGAGTGACCAGATAAATGACCAGATAAATCGGCACAGAGCGAACGAACTTGCAGGAGGTACAAGCTCGCTCGCTCATGCTGCACTGCAAAAGGGTTAAACGCGGGCCGGAGGTTACCAGTCGGCAGACCTAGAACTGGTAACCACGTTATTAGTTTACAAATGCCCTCAGACGTAACGAATGTCGGTATATTGCAATCTCAATACGACGAGTTGAAGGAACGACCTAGGACAACTGTAACACCGCTCTAAGGAAACTGCTGCTTCCCTTCGGTGTCCTCAGAAATTCGAGATATCGTAAACAGAATCTGCATGGTCTGATGAAAAAAGACTATCTCAGATCCACTACCCTTCGTCAGCATCGACTATAAATTATTTAAAAAAATGTATTAACTAAATATAAAACCTGGAAGCGCAAGTGGAAATCAAACCCCTATTTAAGGAGGTATTTTATAGGTAACCGATCATGAACGAATAAAATCGAACCCGCCCTATAGGGCACTTAATAATCGATCGGGGCAGACGTCTCCAAGCAACCGCGGAAAGGCGTAGGTCACCCCAATTAGGATACATTATTCCGGAGGGTGGATTATCGGTTCGTGCCTTAAATATTAGCGAGGTCTCGATAAACGTCTTGGGCCTTATCATTCCGACTTAATCGGGCGATTTAGGCAGTCGCGGGGCTATAAATTAGGCCAAATTAGGATTAAGGGACGTGCCGAGCAATACCGTTAAATTCCGTACTCGACTTTATCGGATTATTCGGGCTGCGTCCGGAGGGTGGGAAGAAGGAGCAAACGAGGCACGACCGGACGGACAGAGCAGCGTGTTCTCGTGTCATTTTCAGCCTCGTTGCCTGCTTCTTTCCCAGGGTGATGCCGAATCAGCCCCATTGGCGGAGACGCGACGTCAAAGCAACCCTTTCCGAGGGGGAGGAACTCGCTCGCCTAGAAAACGCGATTCGCCGGACGAGCGTGTATGGAACCGATTTTTTTTCTCTAGCCGAGTATTCCGCCAACGCATAGATGCACCTTCCCCTCGGATTTTCATCCAAACTCTCTCCTTTTCCTTCGGCTTCAATCCGGAATTTTAGAGATATTGAAATCGTACGGATCGTGAATCCGTAAGGTTGTCGAATTAGTCCGAGACATCCCCGTTCCTGTTTGGGGGTTAAGGGGTGAATTCAGAGTCGGAATTTCACGGATCATCTCGCGGATATCTTATTTACAATTCAGCGAGTCCTTCCGTCGAGCCGGGTCGCGGTTCGTGACGGAGATTCGGCTCGGCCCTGCCTCCCCCAAACAAGGGAGGAAAATGTAACGTGCCAGAAATCGATAAGCCCACCCCCTCCGACAGGGCCGAATCGAAATAAGACGACTCGGCGACGTCGGTGAGTGGCGGTGCCAAGGCTTCCGAGTCGATCGGGACCTGGGGTTCGTTAGGGGATGAAGGCACGACCATCCCTGCTTTTTGCCTCTCTTCCTCCGCCCTCCGAGAACGTTTCCTGGCCTTAAAGGGTCAAATTATTTATACAATTTTTCTCTAAACTGGACACACCGCATATTTCGACATTTTCCTACATGACTATAGAGACCCTAAGGAAGGTACCCATGAAATTGAAATTAGAAGAACGTTCTACAAAAATATACATTTTTTACCCCAGACTGGAATCAAGACGACGTCGAGTTTTCATAATGACGGTTACTTGGCGCGGCGTTTTCGATGAAATGTCAGATTTTTTGTTCACCGGCGGCGATTATACTTCTCGGCGCCTTTTTCATAACCTTAAGGCCCTCGGGCTGGATTCCGACACCGGCGCAGGACGAAGAGAGCCCAGGAGAGACGTAATAAGGACCCGAGGAGCCACTTACCCCTTTTGCGGAGAGACCCGCTCAGACTTGCAGACGTTTAACATGAGCGTTTGCAAATTTATGGTCGCCCGGGTCGGAAGGAAGGGCTCCGACCTCGCATTAATTTTCGACAGCGGAAATAGCGGTTGCACTCAGGGAAACAACCTTGTTACGCGCACTGAATCCCGACTGGTTGCTCCGAAAAATATACCCCGACGGATACCATCTGGTAATGTTGTACCGACCACCGAACAATGAGGAGGTAGGTAAGAATCATATCCCAGCATGTACCAACGAGATGTACCGCATCCTTCAATAAACAAGAGTTCAATGTCTGTTCCCCTCTGAATTTTCGCGGACTGAAAAATAGATAACTCAACGTGTATCACCCGGGTACTCGATATAAACAACGAAGACTTGGTTCCTTCCCTCAATTTCCCTTGCATTTTTACAACGCGCACCGAACCCTGCCGGTTTGTCCTAGATAAAGAGTTATCGTTTCATCCTCGAATCGCCACTCAGAAAAGTAACACGGAAACAGATCAAAGGGAATATCGTGGCACAAGACGTCCCCGATATCCCTGGAAATGCAAAAGTATACAACCGGGCTTGTCTAGAGTGCTTCCATCGAGCCGGCAGTCGTTTGTCAGGCGATACGTCTACAACTGTATCGGATGTAATGCCCGGAGAACACGCCCGTTAGCGTGTCCCTTTACATCCCCCGAGTCGACGGAATCGAAAGAACAAAAAAGGTCTACCGACAAATTATTGCACCGCCTTCGACGAGTCCGCGTTGGCGGAGCTCCGAATTTCGATCTTATCGGGGAAGAGGATCAGAGAAAAAAAAACCCGAAAACCCTTCATTACGAACCCAAACACTGGTAACCACGTTCGCACGGCGACCCGGAGATATTCCGTAGAGATTTTTTTCCGGGTTTCCCGGGTTTCCCGGACCCCGACCGCTGCGCGCTTATCCTCCCCGCGAGCCACCCCTAAGAGGGTAACAGACTTTGGGATTTTCCCTTCGCACCTGGGGGCGCGAAGTGCGCGGAGAAATTCAGGCGAAATTATGAGATCGATCCTGGAATGCGAGGGAAAAGAGAAAATGATCAGGCTCGAGGTGTTGAAAAGGAAAATTAAAATACGTGGCGCGGACTTTCGGGCAAAGCAGCGAAAGGGGTGGGATAGCTGTTAAAAAATCTCTGGTGCAGGCCAGACCGCCGCAACAATTTCGAAATCCATGAGGTTTCCTGTGGCTATAATAGCGCACAAAGGACGAGGACCCTCGCTTTTGTTGCTGCCGTGTGCGAAACGTAACGAGCGCCCTTGGACCGCGTTGCATATTTCAGAAGGGCGTGACGGAAGTGCCGAAGTGCGCCGTCGAAAAACGCAAAAAGTTGACCGGATGCAACACCGGCGTTGTATCGCCCCGTTGTGCAGCCCCCTAATTAAAGCATCCCCATTGTCGCCATTATCGCGCCGTAGAGCAATCCTCTGAATTATACCTCAAACTGGATTTCAGGTTCACGCAGCCAATGGCGCCGTAAAAAAATCGGAGAAAAGCGGACGCGGTTTTCGTTCCTCTTAGTTCCACCCCTGGGAAGGAAATCCAGGCCGAATTTCGGGAAAATTAACTCGGCCCCCCTTTTTATGGCATTTATGAACTTCCTCCCTTGAATAAGCATCCGGCTTACTTCCAGTCTCGGTCGGGGCCCCGAAAAGTGGCCAGGGTCGAAGTTTTCTCAAAATCTCCGGGACGAAATGCGAGCCGAGTTTTGCGGTTAACCCCTCTTAGAGGGTAGCGGGTGGCTTTATGGATTTATGCTTTGCGGAACCCCGGCGGAATCTTCCCTCCCGACCGGACGGGGGATGCTGGCGTATTAAGGAAGCATCCAGCTCTATGGGGTAGGGAGCCCGGTCCTACCGACGAAGGGCTTGATAAAGTAAAGTGCAATGCTCCACGGATGCGGCATAATTTAAATTTTTAAGATAGTCGAAGTCACTTCCGCAGTTTAGTTTCAAAGCAAATTATCAAATCGATTACGACTTCATGGTATGTGGTCTAGGTATTCCAAATATCTGTACCGGAATCAAATTGCGGAATAAAAAATCTAGAATATGGAGTACATCCCTCAAGGAGGACTCACCTCTCTCAGCTCCTTGATCTTCAAGCCCCCCTTCCCGATGACGCATCCGGCCTGGCTCTGGTGCACCAGCATCCGGACGTCGATTTCGTCGGTCCCGTGCTTCGTGCCATTCTGAAATCAGTTCGACGAGAGCCGGTGAGCTCGCTCGAGGGAAGAATTGGGGAGAAGCGAAGGAAAAGCGAGGGAGTAGACAGGGCCACGCCTCGCGACGTCAATCCGGCAAGTCTCCGCGGAATTCCATCCGGAATTCGCGGCGGAATTCGACGCGCCGCAATGCCGCACATCCGGAGGCCTCAGATCTCGTCGGAGTGACGTGACGTTGATGACGATTTCGATCCCGAAGTCCTCCAGAATATACGCGACGGAGGAAAAAGTCGACGTAATGTTTTTTTACGGCCGCCATCGCGATGTTGGACTCTGGACGACTTTTTCGCATTTCGAGAGAAGTATTCCGAAGCTGGTCTCGCGAGGCGGGGCGTAAATTAAAATTCGCATTTAATTCGACGTCGCAGACTCTAGCGGGATTTAAGATTCCGGGCGAGAAAGATCGCGGAAAATGAGGCCTTCGTTTCTTTTTCTCCTTTTTTTCCTCGCTTTTACAGCCCCCGCGGGAGTCGGCCGAGATTTTTTTTTTTTTTTTTTTTTTCAGGAAACTCTTTGGCGACTGTCGCGTGAATTACGCCCGGCAGAAAAAACCACTCGGGCTCGGAGGTCATAAAACATTACGCCAGAGGCCGGTGGAGCCGAATGCTCGATGCGCTCTGACATCTCGTCGGATTGACGGGACGTTAATAACGATTTAAAGTGGAACGAGCTTCCCAAAATACGCGTCACCGGGGAAGATCGGCGACGGTCCCCATCCGACACGTCGCGGCTTGAAAGACCTTCGAGCGACTATCGATTCTCCCCGGGAAATTGGGATAATTTTAAAGTCAGTCAATCGAGGCAATTTCGGTGCCTCCCACCTCGAGCTAAATCTTGCATAAAAATTGCACGCCGAAAGTCGGCGCGATGCTTTTCCGATGAGAGCTCGAACCTCCCCCGGCAGAATTTTTATTGAATAATTCAAGCCCAGCCTCGAGTTATAAACATTGCTCGACCTCTGAACCCTCTTCGAAAGCGATAACAAAAAAAAATAAGGAACTTATTTTCCCAATAGATCCAAGAATTCTCACCTGGACCATGCGAAACGAGATAAACCGTAATTTAATCTTTTATTAATAAATTGAAATATGTATTTATGAATTGTTGCTATCTTATATGGGCAAGGACGATCCTTCCTTGGTAATATGTCGGGTTCTACCCCCTTGCACTGCCGTTACAGAATTAATGTCGGTAAAAAAGGAATGGCAGGGTGATTTCAGTGACGTTATCGCAGCATCCGGCGCCGGTCCAGGGAGACGTTCCCAGATCAAGAATTCTCGTAATACGCCGATCGCAGCCGCGGCGAATTACCGCTATATCCCCTGGAAGCTTCTGGCTATTCCCCGGGAAAACGCATTTACAGGGTCTGCAAGTCCGACAGCTGCATTTCCCTCAGCCCCGGAGGATATCGATTACCACTGCCACTCGACGTCGCTCCCAGGAAAATTTCCCGGGAAATTTCTCCCCGCAAGGAAATATCGTAGGGAGTTCTTACCTCTTCCAGATTAGGCACCACCTCGTTCACCACTTGGAGAACAGTGTCCAAGTCCGAGCTGATGGTCAGGACCCTAGAATCAGAAGAGCTCCAAGAATTACGCCGATCCGGCCGCAAGGACGAGGGCGTGCATCTTTCCTGGTCCGTTACCAAGCCCTACCCAGTGAAAGGAAAAATCGTAGCGTTTCGGGGGGGGCAATGGAAAGACGATTTCCTCTCCCGGATAAATAGGACGCTTGGTTATCACCCACTCCCTGGTATCAAGGAAGGACGAAGGCCCTCGTCGCGTGAAGGGACTGACATGCTCGCGTCGCATCCGGGGAATTTTAATCCAGACATGGTAATGCGACTTTGTGACGACGGAGTCGGTGTTATCAGCCTTGATAATAATGCCGTCGCCTCGTGTAACCACCGGAGATTTTTTTTTTCCACCCGCGAATGCGACGCGATCAAGATCAATCACCGAGGCGCGCGACTCGGCGATCCTTATCGATCGGAAAATGACACGGGGCTCATGGAAGCCGGCATAAAAGTCCTGGCCGAGCTCGGATGTCGTTTATGATTCATAATTCGTAGACCGAGGGGTCGGCGAAACCCGACAAGGGGTACCCAGCTTTAAAAATTAACCGGCGGAATAATCACCCCGACACGTAATCGGAGCCCTGGGTACTTTTAAGGGGTAGGCATTAACCGGAGGTTTAACTGCGACGGTTCAATTAATTAAGGTCAATAGTAGGTACCCTTCTTACGTTTAACAACCTTTCCGTCGGAAAAATGACGTTTTTACAAGTACTTTCGAGAATCCAGGGAAAGAGATTTAACTTTTAAAGAGTGATTAGGGAAATTATACCACTGGGTGGCGTTTTACGTGGCTCTTGAGGTGCAACTAGAAGAGCATCTAATTGTAGAACCGGGGAAAGTGAAAGTGTTGAAGGTAGGCGGGAAAACGTGGAAAGTGAAATTATTGGAGTACCGATTGGAATTTTCAAGTATAAAGTGCTTTCCTGGAATTTTATGAAAAATATTGAAAAACAATGCAAGGGGCGCAGGAATTATTTTGCCAGCTTCCAGGCTCCGGGGATGTCCAGCAACGGAATGGAACGGGTCATATTCGGTACCTAGGGGAGAAAGAATTCGTGTTTAATGATTATTAGTCTCGACGGGTCGATTAATCGGCGCGTTCGCCGCCTCGTAAATCGACATCCGTCGTGCATCGCGTAAGGACGGTTATTACACCATGCGTGTGCATTATCGCACACGCACCTACGATTCGGGTGACACGGCATCGGCGCGATACGGAAGCGAATCCCTGATGTACGTTTATGTTCATATAAAAAGAAAGGAATTAATAAAACCATAATGCATCGAAAGCAAAAACTGGAATAAGTGCCTGCACGAGAGATTTGTCGAACAATTTACAAAATCGATCGATGCACCGTTTCCACCGAACCCCTCCATTTCTTGGGAGATATAGGTTTTAATCCGAAAGATCCAAAGGCGGTACCAAGAATTCCAATTGAATCGTCGCGATAAAAATGAAGAATTCCACCGTCCCGCTCGAATTCGCAGGAAGTCCCTTGAATCAAAGGTAACGCGATTACCCGCGCAGGGCGCGCTGATTGCGCGAAAATGGATCGTCGAAACGTACGTTTTAATTTAACTTTTGACCATTAATTCCGACACGGACCGTCCATCAAGGCCGGCGCGTGCGCCGATGCAGTTCCACGCCGCGCGGGGTGCACCAGAGCGAACGCACCGACACCTAATAACATATGAGCGTACGTTACCGATCCATACGTGGACGGCACCGTCCCCGCACGTCCAGGAGGTCTTGGTTAGTCGTAAACCCATATTTCAATGACGAAAGCGGCCATCACCTCGGACGCGATTCGATACAGGGTACAAAACGTGAAGAGGGTGCCCTGCGGATCCCAAACATCACACGAGACGACGTAGGGAGCACCACGGGCACGCACGAGGAAAAGGGTGAAAACGAGAAGCGAGATTCATGGTGCACCGGATCGGCACGTGAGAAGGTTCTCGGGACCGTCAATGATCGGCTTAGGACTTAAATTCGGGTGTAAAGGGGTAGCCCGAAGTCGGGGGGATGGACTACCCCAGGACCCCCCACGAGGACCCCAATCGGGCGCACCTTCTGAGCTTCGAGGAATTCCCGCCGACATTTAAACGTCTAAATTTTATAGAGTTTTGTGAAGTCGTGTAAAAAATTATTTAAATGATTATGAAAAACGCCATAAAGTCGGGAGTGCAGTTAAGGGTTGATCAGCCTTGTGGAGGCGCTTCTTATTAGCGTACATTTATTAGCCACAGGTTAAACGATGCACCGAGCAAGACTCGTGTCCCGATGCTCGTCGGTGCTCGATGCACATCTATGCAAAACCTGTTATCAAAGGTCTGTAATAGGGCTCCACCACGGGTCTGAAAATCGGGTCTCACCCCATAATTAACGGGAGGGGGGGCGAGGAGTACGCGCGCCCTCAATCGACGACATCCACTTACGTATGTATGTACACAAAAAAGTTCCTAAAGACTGTAAAAGAAGCGAGAGAGAAAACAATAGGAAGAAATAAAGAGAGATGGGAAGAACGACACCAAACGAAAAATGCATAGAGGAAGACGAAGGAAAGAAATTCTCCCGAATTCTGCGTCTCGAATGTTTCATTTTTTTTTTTCCAACGCTGAAAAGGGCAGTGACTTAAGGACTGCAATCTTGCACGCGAAATGCACGCACAAGACCGAAAGGGAAGACAATACGAGGCGCGTGGAGAGAGACAAGGACACGCGCGAAGAAGCGACGAGAATTCGTGGGAATAAATATGGAAAGCGAGAAAGAGAGGACGCGAAGAGACCAAGCAGACACCGAAAGCCGAGGTCCTTGCAAAGGGAACGAAAGGATCCTTGATCCTGTATCCTGTATCCTGGAGAGCACCTCGAGATCGCGTTTGATCGATCCTCTCTCGCTCTACCCAGTTCTACGGGAAAACGCAGAAGATAAGGTTCCCATTTTCGCCCAGAGGAGACGCATTTCATCTCGGGGCAAATTTAATGAACCCGAAGAACCCCTTCGCGCCCAGATGCAGCATGGCTCATCCGTGATCACTTTTTCCCCGTTTTCTCATCTGTGCCGGAAGCGCGACTCCAGGACGCGGAAAATTTCTGAAAAAGGGAAAATCAGAGGTGCAAGGGATCGACCGATCTCCCCGAGCTCGACCCAAGCCAAGCGAAAGATATACGCCTCCCTCGCGGCTGAAACATTGATTTTCATTAAAAACAATTATCAAGGAATCTAGAACTGTCTGACTCTTCGAGGAAAGTGACTTGCTTTGTTTTTTAACAAGGGCTTGAAAAACCGACCGAAATTCGCCCCTCCGCATTAAGATGCCGCGGAGGTCGAAATATTAAATCGGAATACCGGAGGTGTTACGAGGATTATCCGTATTCCTTCCAACCCCGCGTACCGTCGCAAATGACGATCGTCGGTCTTGCGAGACCAACGATCCGAGGACAGCTCCAGGGGGGAGGAAGCCAAGAGGGGAGGAAGTCTCACAAACTGCGCCTAAACGCTCAATTTCCGCTTAAATTAAGACGTCGTGCATCTTCAGCACCGAGGCGCGTTAAATCCGTCTGGTGTCCAAAGCGGAACTCTAAAACGGAACAGGGTCAGAAGCGGAGACGAAGAGCGGAGGCGCGACGAGACGCGGGATTCGTCAGCTGGCACAAAGACCCCGCTTCGGGCACCGAGGACCTTGGTAAAAAGACACAGAGCGTTGACACAGGGGAGAAGAGAAAGGCGGAGATAAAGAGAGAGAGAGCGAAAGGGAGGCAGAGACAAAAGGAACGGGGAAAGAAGAGCGGAGACAGAGCTAGAGACAGACAAAGAGAAGAGAGGAGGCGCGAAGGAGAGATAGAGAGTGAGAGAAAAAAAAAATAGTATAAACGTCATGGTATAATAATACTGGCGCGAATACCGCAATCGCATGGCAATTAGAGACAAAGAATTAGAGAAACATTAAAGTAGTGGTGTTGGCATTACCGTTCGGGTCCGGGGCAATCGGGTACAGTGATTGAGGCTTTGTACTGTCGGGCCGTGGTGGTTGGTGGTCGGTTCATTGGTGGTGGTTGGTGGTTGTTGTCGACGGGTCGCAAGGGCGGTCCAATTGCCGATCGAGAACGTCGGGATCCGTCCGAATCCGGGCAGACAACGGCAGGGCAACGGCAGGGCAACGCCAGGATAACGCCGGGGCAACACCAGGGCAACGCCAGGGGGGCAACGCCGGGGTCGGGGCGGGGCCAGGGCACAAACCATATCAACCATATCAAGTTAGACCAAGGTCCCTCTCGCAGGGCTCACCTTCTTCCACCCCCTTTCTTTCACCCCCCACGGAACAACCCCCCGCGACGAGACCTCGCGGGGGCGTCGACCGTCGGATATCGGATTTCGATACTCGCCCCCTCCCCTCCCGAAAAATCTCGCTTTAATGCCCGCTCACCCCTGGCCGATCGTAATCTGCTTCCTACCCTTCTTCGCCTTTCCCTGCGCCCCCCTTCGCGGGGGGCACGGGGGCGCACTTGCGCCCTTCCGAGGCATGACCCGAGTACTCTAAGTACTCCCCGAGACTGAGGCTACACGAGCGTCGTTTCGACGTCCGTCGTAATGCCCGTCGATTTTGACGCTCGTGTGACCGTGGCTTATATTTCGGCGAGCGAGGGTCGATCCTCCGATCGGACCGTGGGGGGTCGCCACCCCCTTTGGGGGACGACGAGGCCGGGGATGCTCTCGGCCCTCGCTGGGAAAGCTTCGGGTGATAAGCCGAGTTCCGGGACGGGGAAAGGGGGGCGGAGGGGTGGGGCATTCGGACTCGGTTCGTGGTCCCGGCGCACCCCATGGGGAGGAGGGGGGAGGGATTACTCTGCAGGGTCGAATAACCCCCCGATCGCGCTCTCGGTGCTCGTTACGGCTTACCCGCTCACACTTTTATCAGAGATAAAAATGATTTAATTACTCCAAGGAGATAACCGTCGAGTCCCACGCACCCCCAGAGTCGTTCCGGGTATTAATCGCAAATCTTACGTGACTCGACCTTACGCGCTCGCAAACTCGCCGGGAGTGAAACTCCGGTATTTCATACATCCCGTAAAACGCAATAGGCGAGCTCCAATGCTAATTACCAACAGCGAGAAGACCTGGGCGCGTCAAAGTTAATTACACCTCCGGCTTCTCTCTCTCTCTCTCTCTCTCTCTCGATTCTGCAGTTCCACTTTCATTCCCGCGACCGTATCGCCAAGTTTGTTAATAACAGTTAACAACTCATTTCCTAACATCGCGCGGAGATGCCATTAAAGTGCATGCTCCGAGGAGCGGTATTCAAAGCGGCACAAAGGAATCCTACTATCCCGCCCGCCCTTTCCAGGAGTTCCCAAAAATCGTCGCGAGGTGGAAGGGAAGGTAAAGGTGGAACTCCGAGGATAAAAGAGCCGACTGAATTAACCTCGACTCGCCTTCTGCGTTAATTTCACCCTACTGACAAGCGGGTGCTTTAGTGCACATTTTATCCCTTTCAACCCTCTTCTTATTCGCGGACTCTGCACGGTGGACTCGACGCTTTCGGTTCCGGGTAAATTTTTTAACATTCTCGAAAAGTGGCAAAGTTAACGTTGGAGTTTATTCCCGAGGCACCGGGGCCCGACGGGAATTATTACATCTCGGGTAAAGTACTTAGGGACCTTAATTGGAAATTTTCGCTATCAGGAGATAGCGGGCAAGCGTCGGGTCGTTCGGCTCGCCGGGACGTCCCGATTCGAGATCCCGGGAGGAGAAAAAGGACTCTCTGGAGCAAGGTAGAGGAGAGGACCGGGTTTCGATTTGGACATTAGGGAACAGGTTTCTAGCGTAGCCTCTTCAATTATCACCGAGACACTCTACCCCTTCCGCGTGCGTGTCTCTCGACTCCTCTCGCGGGCTCTCTCAGACCGGAGTCTTCAAGGGGCGGAGGACGGAGGGGAGGCGAGGCGGCCAGACGTGGAAAAAAGCGAGATAAAGAGCGAAAAATCCGAAGGAGCCGAGAGAAGCGTCAGCCGAGAACTCCGCCACTCCCTCTTCCTCCCTTCTGCCTCTGGCCTCTCGTCGACTCGACTTTTCCGCCCTCGCGAGCTCCTCCCCCGACCCTCGTCCCAGCTTTTCCATCTCAATTTTTCACCCGCTAGAGCCGGGGTGAAAAATTCCCCCGCCGAGATGAACAATCGAATATTTCGAGAACCCGCTCGCCGGACCCTTCCACCCCCGGGACATATCTTGTGGCCGATCCGCCCCCGAAACCAAAGACACCCCCCCCAGGATGGCTCCGCGTCGACAAACAACCCTGGAAATTCCCCCGATTCGCCTAATTTTTCTCCATCCCTTCCGACCCGGAGAACTCGCTCTTGCCATTACTCCTAGGAACGCTGATGAACCCTTCGCCCCCTCCGCCCCGAAAACCCATGGTCGTCCATTTCCTCGCTCTTTATTCGCAGCGCAGGGGGGAATTCCCGGAGTCTTTGGACGACTTCGCCCTACGTCCTGGGATTAATTTCCCGGGAACTTTCCAGGTCTCCGCCGTACCTCCGAATGAAAAACTAACGGGCACGATAAGCTCCCCGTGGGGGATGATAACGCGCGCTGTCGCGAGTCCTTCGCGAGTCCTTCGCGAGGCTCCGAAAGGGACTCGAAAGGACTCGAATTCTCTCGTCAAAGCCTCGAAGAGAGCGAAGGATCCTCCTAACTGCCGGTAGAAATATCACGGAGAAGCGATTTTAATCCCACGAATGCATTAAAGTTAAACCCGAAAAAGCTCTAAATTAAAAGCAAACCTCGATGTCTATGACGCTCATCGGAGTGTCCGATAAGCCCGCCACGGATAGACGTCTCGACCCACCCGAGACGTTCCGACCTCTTGGGGCGATCGAGGGTCCCATCGATTTCTTCTCCGGATCGGCGATGGGTCCACTCCATCACCCCGCGACCGCGTCGAAGCGCTCGTCGATATTAACGCCGGTGTTTTAGCGGCGCGTGTCGCGGTCGATTTCGAGGCTAATTACGCGAGTGCGGGTGACGACGGCAGATCTTTCGGACACGCACTCGGGCACGCACGGGAAGCAGGGCGGTTTCCATTAACACGCTGACTGCCGCGTTGACCGTAATTAGGCGACACCCCCCACCGGGTCTTACGGGGGTGCGTAATGGCAGTGAACGTGTTAATACTAATTTCTGGAGCATGGGAGGGAAGGTCGGGCTCCTTTCCGCCGAGGGACGACAAGGACGATGCCGGCTCGTCGAGAGGTCGATAGGGCGATCGGCGAGATAAGGGAGTTCTTCGCTGGAGGTTCCGGAGCCGGCGATTGCGTTCCGCTCGCTTCGTTGCTTCGCTTCGCTCTCGCAAGCCAGGGGATGAAAAGGACCGCCCAGGCGGAAAAAATGTTATTGCTTTTATACGTCAAATCTGTATTCCATGCAGAAACCGCGCGCGGAATAAGGGGTATTTACCCGCGAAGGCGTATATCTCATTGGACGTCCAGAGATTCCCAGGAAAAAGCAGCCGCGGTGATACACGAGATGCTCGTTCCATACTCCGGAGGTCGGGGTTCGATTCTACGTGAAAATGGAAGCGAAAACCTTAACGACGTTTTCCTCGAGGATTTACAGTTTCCGAGTTACGGGGCTTCGAAAGCGCGGCCAATTAGGCGCGAGGCCCGAGTCCACGTGGCCGCCCCGCCGTACGTCGCGGCTGATTGGCTGCGCTTTGAACCCCCGCAACTGAAAAATTACGCGTCGCGCGAAAAAGTGCCATTAAGGTTTTCGCACAGGGATCGAAAAGACGCAGCGAGCGAACTCGAAAACTCGCCGGATTCGCCGGATTCGCCGGATTCGCCGGATTCGCCGCATTCGCCGCATTCGAGATTAAGGGAGGACCTAACCGAGTGGAGGCGACATACCGCGAGAGAAGACGACGATCGAGGACCGAGTGCGGATAAAGGGAGTGCCGGGACTGGAAAGGGAGGCACGGGACGTGTCCGCCGAGAGCTTCCCGGAATTTGAAATCGATCATCCAGGAAAGAGTCGAAGGGAGACCGGCGGAACTCGATGACGCTACGCGGAGCGATCTTGCGGTCGCGATCGAGGGGAGCCGTGATAAAGAATGCTCCTCTTCCGGAATTCGATCCTAGATATCGCGTAGGTACGCGTTCCCGATCCCGGAGGATCGATTCCCATCCTTCGATGATGACCGACGGTAATGCGATCGGGGCGTATCACTCGACCCCCGACCGCGAGGCCCTCTCGAGCTCCCTTTAACCGAGAGATCGGGAGAATCGGGCGAATCGCGCGATTGCTCGCTCTCTCTTTCGAGGATTCCAAGGAGGACAGGAGAAATCGGGATGTAGGCACTCGAGGGACGTGGAAGTGGGATTGAAAACGCCGAACGACGACGCTTCGTCGACAAACTCGAAATCGCGAAAGCTCACCTGACTCCGGAGCTTCGTGATGTTCTGGCCGCCCTTGCCGATTATCGAGCCGGCGACCTGCAACAGATTGAACGTCGGTTGCATATTATCTGTAACGAATCTCGTATAAATTAAAGAACATCTCAAAATATTTCCTGCGGTTCCATTCGATACGATGAAAAATCAGGAGTTCGCCCGGCACTCCGCAGTCATTTCCAAAAATCACGGATGGAAAGGCATCGCGCGATCAAGGCGAATCTTAACGAGGAGTTCTTTAATTCAACCGGGGTATTTTTTTTCTTTTTTTTTTTGTAATTAACGTCGGACATCTCGCGCTTGGTAAAAAAAAAAAAAGAAATTGCAAAAATTGATTCGACGAGGATTCTTGACGCAATCACCGAGTACGTTCGATCCCGACGTCGGATTTACCCCTCGCCATGAGATCGGCCACTATTCTTAGTATCCCGGGATTAATAAAGGCAGTTAATGGAGCACGATTCGTTGCATCAACGCGGACTAAATTCTAGACAAGGCCGCGACTGTCGCCTACGACGAGAGCCTACATAGAAGAACCGGTAGGCAAAGTGGAGCACCGCGATTACGTCCTCGCCTCGGCGGTCGACTCCGGGAAGTGGCAAAAAAGTGCATTTTTCGTTATCGGGATTGCGAAAGCCCGAGAACCGACACTCTCCTCTCTGGGAGCGATCGTTGCCTCGTCGCCTGGGGACTTTTTCCCAGGCGAGGAGGCCCGTTGAAACGAGACCCGATGCGCCGACCCGGCCGCAAGGTGCCATTACAAAGATGTCCTAATACACATGCAAATTGCGCGGCGCGTAATTCCCACTTACGGCGGAGAACAATTGCCCGGAGTGTCTCCGTTTCGAGCGATGCACGGCCCGGTGCAACGACGGGTACTTCGAGTTACAATGCAACTTGCAATTTCCTGACGAGCGACCCCCAATGCCGAGAGACCGCAAGACCGCCCACGAACCCCGAGACCTAACTCGAAGACGTGGATGCGGGGGAAAAGGAAGGAAAAAAGAAAAAAGAGCGGACCGAGAAAAGAGGAGAAAAAAAAATGGCGCGCGACAAAACGACCCTGGCCGACGCACTCGGCCGTGCGTTCGCGCGCGAGAGCGCGTAATGCATAATGGCCGCATTATGCACCGGTGCAACGCCCAAGGAATGCAACGCGACGAGGCGGGCCCTCGTCCTTCCCGGCCCGCCTAAACGGCTTGTTAATTGAGTTAAGTCTTTCGCAACCAGGGGAAAGAGGGACGCAACCGGCCCACCCCTTATGGACCGCGTCTAATGCACCGTTGCATCCTGTGCAATGACTCGCGAGACGCACAAACGCGCCCGCAATTACCGATGAGAACAAAGGGAAAGAAAAGTCCCAGTGGACGTTCCGCTGCCTACCGGCGATACGGTAGTTAAAAGTAATTATTTCCAATGTTTGAAAATTCAGCCACCTTGAAGGTGAAATTTTTCAGACTTTCGAGAATCGACATTTGAGCAGGATTTCTTAATTCCCTCGATTATTTCCGCCAATGAGCGATAAGCGGGCTATCGCCGAGCAGCGCATAACGCACCGACAGCCTCTTGCACCATCGAGAAAGGAAAAGTCAATGCAGTGCATCCTGCCGTGGGCTGCAGGAATTTCCACGTTGCACTCCCTGCAGCCCGCTGCACCTACGACCACTCGCAACATCGGCGACCGTCCCTGAAAAGCGGCGCGCGAGCACGGTTTTTATCCGAGCGATTAAACCTTATCGCCTTTATCGGTCGCGCAAATACCAAACGGCATATTGGATCGATCGACCAGGCCGACGTTGGGATTTAATTTCCCGGCACTCGCCGCGCAGGTTTCCCCCGTGCACCGCGATGAAAATGACAAAAAACGAAAAAGAAGAAGAAATTCCATTCGAGAACAAAAAGCTATCCCGATAAGATCGTCACCGGACAATTAAATGACAAAGGATTCCGGTAAAGTCTCGAAGTTCGGAAAAACTGCTAATCTTCCCTGACAAAGGAGAGAAGAAAAAGCGAAGGGAAGAGACAATCGCGATAAGATTTGGCGCGAGTGGTTGTCTCGGCACTTCTATATAGGAGAGTCGGAAGAGAGAAAAAGGGGGAAAGGGGAGGAAAAGAAACTAGTCGACGAGTCTCGCCAATCTTGACAAAGATTCACGCCGTTCGATGCTCTCGAGGAGTTCCTCGCTCGGTTCGGCGCGTCTTTAGGTCAAGACCATCTCTCGTCTGGCCATCGGCCTCTCGTTTCTTCCCTTCCTTTTCTCCCGACTTTTCACTCGGAGCGTCTTTTCGCGTCCCCCTCGACGCTCCGGCGGCCCTCCAAACTTTTTCGAAAAATCTTCAATTTGAGACAAAGGTAACGGCCCCTTCGACGATCCTTCCAAGAGCACCGAGAGGACGATCGAAAGAATCGGCCCCGATTAAACGAGGGACATCAAAAATAATGGATTAAACATTTTTTTTCTCCACTTCATCGAGTCCCACCTCGGCCTGTTAATCCGCTCCAGCTACGTTAATTACAGCCAGGAGTTGAAGCGTATACGAATTAATGAAACGAATGATTTGTTCCTCTCGAGGACTGGCTCTCATAGGAAGATAAACGAGGAGGTAGGCAACTCGATTTAGTTTCACGGAATCGCGATCGCGTTCGCCTTCGACTCTTCATCGGGTTCCCATTGAGCCGCGTCGATGGGAAAGCGATCGGCAGATGCGCGAGCATTGTCCGCCGAGTCTTTAGGTCAAGATCGCCTCTCTTCGGCGGACCATCTGTCTTCCCTTTCTTCCTTTCAGCCATTCAACTCGGCGCGTCCTTCCCTCCTCCTTTTCTGAACACCCCGAGAAACGTCCGGTCGGACTTCTGCCATCGAGCCATCGAAGAAGGCAGAAACGGAACGCGCGGCGCAAACAAAATTAACAGGCTTATTGGTCAATTTTGTCTGTGCCTTAAACTGGATTCTAGGTTCACCCAGCCATCCATCGCGCAATAATAAATTCCTTCGCAAATGAAACGAATTACACGAATTCGTGTGAAACGACCGTAAAGTTTCCTTCGGGTGGGAAAGAAAACCTGAATTCCTCGTTTCGTGCCGCTGTAATATTAAGGTAACAGGAGAGAGCAAACAGCCCTCCGACCTCTCCAGGGCGTCTTCGGGGGGACGGCGGGGGGACGGCGGGGGGACGGCGGGGATCTCAAACGAGCGATAAAGAAAAAATGTCCACCCCCGAAGCCCGTAGTCCTTAGGTCGAGAGTCCAGTCCGCCATCCGTCTTCCCTTCCTTCGCCAGACCCTCCCGCTCGCCCCGGCTGCATCCATCCGTCCCTCTCTTTCCGACCGGCTCGTTCCGGCGCGCCACCTTACCGGCAAGAACGCGCCCGACGACGCGACCCGGCAAGCTCTTACGCGTAATTATGCTAATTACTTTTTCTCTTCCCCGAGGGCGAAGACGACGCCGAGGAAAGAAGCGGAAAGGAGACGGGCCGAATCCTCCCTTCCTGGATCCTGGATAAGGAGAGAGAGCGGGGGAAAGGACTACGATGACCGGAAGGACCTTCCCATCGAACAGAAGGGAAACCGGAAGAGCCGCTCTTGTGCATGCGCGTGATGTATGCAATCGGGAAGCACAATGGACGTGCACCCGTTGCAGAAAATGACGAACCCGACGAATCGCGGGCGAAACACTCGAGGAATATTAAAAATGGGAGGGTTTCACGCGGGGGAGAATCCACGGACGAAGCGAAACCGTTCTCGACGGAGATTTTCGCCGAAACAGTCACGTGGGCAGACGTGGATCGAAACAATTTATTCGGGATATTTACTGCGGGGCCAATAAATCGGTGGCACGTAAGGAAGAGTCGAAGGGAGTGGGGGGGAAGAATGGCTAAGGACTGTCGGCGGTACGCGTTGCGAGGGATTGCGGTTAAGATTTAAGGGTTTCGATCTCCCCCAATGATATAGTGGATATGCTTTCTGGGGTGAGCTCGCCCCATTACTACTTCCGGCGGTGGAAACGTATGGTTTTACCAGGGTCGGGCGGAAAATGTAAAGAAAAGCTTTCGCCGCCGCGATATTTCGGGGGTTCATGAACCAGGAGACGTTTTATGAGCGGGAGAGAGGATGCGCGAACGCGAAATGCCTGACCCCTTATTGCTAATATTTGGGTACCCCCGGGGGATAAGACCACCATCCTTCTAGAAGGAATATTTTCCTACCTTGCGTTAATTAACTCTCGTGCTCGCGTTAACTGCCTTCCATTTCTTTAATTTCCCCGCATGAAAAATAAAAAAGGAATTTATCACGCACCTTGCTGGGTATCAGGAGACGCAGCTCATCGTCGCCCTGGCGGTATCTCTTGTGGGGACTCATGGGCCCTCCGGAACCCGTCATCGCGCCACCATCGGCCTCTCTCTTCATTATTCCTGAAACACCAGAAAAAATCACCGCAATAATTATTTAAATCGCCGACTGATCGTTCTTCTTATCGAGGCTTCATCGACTAATCATCCCCAGCCGTCGATAGCCTCTGAAGTCCCATTCAGAGGTGAACAACTCGCGGAACGGAGCGGTAAAGGGTTAATCTCCGGATTCGAGCGGGTCCACTTTGGTCGGGGCAAACGCAGGGCAAACGCAGGGCAAACGCAGGGCAAACGCAGGCCGCGAGGGGAATATCGGGGCTTCGACGAAATCCGGCATAAAGAGGCGAGACGTTCCCGTGGAAACGTAGACGATCCTTAATGGCGTCTCGTAAGCCGTACAGAGCAAGTGCAAGTTGAAAGGCATGCACCGGCGAGGGCTCGTACGCGTCTCTACGTACTGGCCTTAATTACTCCCATGGATGCAGCTGCACCTGCTTCTCCCAGAGAGTCCCTTTCACCCTCGCGAGAGGGTGGAGGAGAGAGAGGAGGGGAAGAACCGGGAGGTGTTCGATAACTCGTTACTCCGGGTGTGCAGATATATTCCGAGGAACCGGAGCTCTCTCGGAGAGGCGATCTGCAAAGTGCGAAACTCCCTCCGCGAAATCTGTCCCCGGACCGTTCCGAGCAGTTAACTCCGCTTTGGCTGCGATTCGCGTCAAGTTCAAGCTCGGGCTCCGAATCTGGATCAGATTCCGATTGCGATTACGGTACGTCCAAGCCCGGCGATAAGGGATGCGATTACGCTGTCTAAATCCAGCTTGGCTTCGCGTTCCTCGTTTTCGTGTCAATTTCAATTTTTCATTTCGTCAATTTTTTATTTTCATCTTGCAGAGTAATATTATGCGTGCGGCGATGTAATGAACTTTATGTTATAAGAGATGGAAGGGTACGATGCAGGAGGTACGTTTTAGTAACTTGAGTTAGGTCAAGATCGCGGAGGGCCAAATTACTCCCATGTATTACGTGTACCGTTCCGTAGTCTGGTAATTTTTTGAACGATCGACCTTCGAGGGATCGCCGCTAGATCCATTTTAGGTGGAACTCGAGCTCAGTCCAGACGCGGCGAAAATCGGATTCTAATTTACGATGATTGCGGTTTTCGATCGACGCAATCTGCTTTTATCTGCTCCCGCTTTAAACCCGCCGGGAGAGAAAGAGGGAAATTTGGAAGGTGTTCCTGGGCAGGACATCCGGTTAATTTCGACCGCAGTTTGGTTTTCGCTCCGGAGCAAAGTGGAAGGTTTCCCCGCGAGCGGGCTCGCTTTTACCGGATTTCTCATTTCTCCATTTCTGCCAGTGATCCCAATTGTAGGGGAAAAAATCCACCCTCGCCTCTATGTAAATCGCGGGGAAATCGTTGCCGCGGAAAACGACCGGTCGAACGTGGAAGCCGTTGCAAAAGAGAATAAGAGAAAAAGAGAAGAACATACAGAAAAGTAACTAGTACGTGGATTGCCAGGATCATCGTCTCCGTCAGGTCTGGACACTAGCCAGGCGTCATTTTGCGGCCAACGCGAGATAAGACGACAAACCCGGCGGAACAGAAAACGGAAGTCCGACGGTCTCCAGACATTTTTCCCGGCCCGCAGTTTGTCCGCTCCCCTTTCCTCCTCTCTTCCCTCCTCTTCTTCGCATTCTCGTCGAAGAGACGGTGGAAAAAAATTCTTTGACATCCTGCCGGAAAGCGAGCGAAGGGTAACGCGACGACGTCTAATGATGCAACGAGGTAGAAAGAAAAGGAAAAAGAAGATCGGTCTTCGTTTCTTCCGTCACAATGGAAAGGAAGAGAAGGAGAATGCCGTTCCAGGTCGAGGGGAGTCCATGGACTCGGCTGCATTACCTCGGACCGACCTTATAAGTCGGAAATCATCTCCCAGGAAGACTTTTCCCTCCCTCTCCGTCGAAGCTCGAAACGGTAGAAACGCGCCGCGCAAAGGGAAACGTAACGGTGCCGAAATCGCATTGCGCGATATTACTCGTTTAGCATACAAATCGAGAGCGCGCGACCGGCATATGGAATTACACTCGACAATGGGGCCACCGCCGACCATGGATCATCCGCGAGAGTACGTGAGGTCTCTGTCGATCCTCGTAATCGAAGGCGTAAGACATACCGTGTAGATATCCCGAGAGACTCGGGATTTCTAGAGAACTCGAATAAAATTGCGGAACTATTTTTACAAAATATCGTTTAATAACCTACATGGAAAATATGTACAGAATTTTAAACTCGATTGGCAACAGCAGGGCATTCGTAGTTGCGACACTAGGTCGCAAGGTATAATAGTTGCAACAAGTGCATCATCATCGCGATTCGGCGATGCAAATGCGATGACAAATGGGGAAAAAAGGCTTACAATTTGCATACGGATTAGCGACAGCTGACGCGTTCTACGGTCGGTGTAATGTCGAACAGACTGGGTTTAATCGGCTCGCTGGAGGGAGATATATAACGCGGGTTCCTATCAGGGTTAATCAAAATTAGAGCACCGATCGAGCGTCGACCAGGTCCGACCAGTCGACAAAACTCGATTGTTTCGACCAATAAAAAAACGAGGAAAAAAAAACAGCGGAATACCCGTTGGATTGTGGGATTCATCCCCAATTGCGCGGTATATTCACCGATTGATTTATTCGGTAACTAGGGGTGTGCAGACTCCATTTTTTTCCCGTCAGTTTGATTCGGACTCGAATAATGTATTTCACTTTCGAGCAATTTCCTGAACAAACCCGGATCCCCCCTCCCAAGTTTTCCAAATACCCCACGAATTCTGATAGAACGCGATATTTTCGAAACTCCGGTAAAACAGTCGGCTTCGTTTCCGGGTCGGGGTTTGCGTTTCGCAAAAGCTCGCGTTAACAAAAAAAATTACGCGTTTACATTACCACCAAACATGAACCCCTTTTCTTTCCGGGGAATTCAAGGCAATAAGTCAACATCCCATGTCCGTGTCCTAGTCGCTGGGTAAATTTGGAAGTATACGAAGGAAATATACATCGAGGGGCATTTATAGGGTGGTAGGGTATCAATGAAATCGAGAGTCGAGGTGCAGGACAGTGCCAAGAGGGTGGAGATACCCGATTCGGGGAGAGATAGACATTTTCGCAATTCGGTTCGCACCTTCCCATAGCCCCCCACAAATATATTCGCTGGCTCAGGCCAAGTGGATCTCGCAAGCGATTCCGCGGAAAATCTCGCGAGCGCGACGATTTTCCGGCAGGATTTCGCGTCGCGTTTTCCCTCCCCGGGGGAAGACACTCCCGGTCGTTCAAAATGACGGTACGTGATTCAAATTCCGCATCAAACACCGGCGACAACTCGAACGGCGTATTTCGAGCGTTTTTCGTCCGCAGGAATTCCGGGAATATTCTCTTTACCTCGGAAATGAGCCGAACGACCAATACGTTTAAAAAGGGATTTTTAAATGTTTTTCAATAATCTCGAGAAATTTGTCAAAAATAATATTACATCAAAGGCGTAAGGGGAATTTTTGCCGATAGGCGGTCGGTGGCTCTCCGGACCGGATTTTGAATCGCGGATTAAACTGCGCCGCGTGAGCGGGAGCACGCGGGGGGTACAACTTCTTGCACAATGAGAGGAGACCCCCCGCGAGGTGCAAAATTTGCCAAAACGCCGAAAACCGGGACGTGGTTTCGACGTAAACTCCAGCGCGAACTGCGCGCCGCACCCGGCTAAACTGGGTCGTTCCCATCGCCGTTCTCGTCGCGGCGAACGCCAGCAAAAAGTTAAACTAGAACAATTAGTTTTAATCGCCCGGCTTGCCGGGATGGGCGGCTTTGTCAGTGTACAACGCGTGCACGTACACGCGGAAAATAAAACCGTGCGATGTTTGCCGTTATCCCGGCTGGAAATTATCGCGCCGTTAATGCCGGCCAACCTCGGCGAGCGCGTCAGACACAAAGGCTAAGAAATATAATGCGCACAAAGTAGAGACCCCGTTAAAGGAGAAATGAATTCTATGTTACGCATCGTGCAAAAAAAAAAGGAATGAAAAGATTCGGAAGAAATTCCAAAGTCGAGGATCTCCCGAGTATTTTCACGGGGATTCCTTTGATCCGTACAACTTCGCGCCGCCATTTTGGAGAACGCGAGTGGCGTCGAGCTAAGGACTCGCGGCGGTTCACGAGGGTGAAAATACTTTGGTTAAGACCGAAGAAAGAGGGCCTTCGGGTCGATCCAGATAACCACATTTCCCCCCTTTAACCCCCGGCAAGGATCGCTATTCGGATGAAGAGGATTTATCTGGAGGATGCGCGCATCGGCCTCGTGTCTTACCCCGTCGAGGTTCCTCCGGTTAAAGTTTCCCTTTTCCTCGGAGGACGAGAGCACCCCGGCTCGCTTCGCGGACGTCTATGCATCTTTCATAGACGCATCGCGTATGCATGCACGCCGCGGAAATGTCGGGACGCGCCCGTAAGTATATTTATCCGCGAGCGTTCCGCGCGTAGAGACGTCCTGGGCGCGGATTTATTCAGGAACGTCCATGCGCGACGTCGCGGAGGACCCTCGGCTTCTTTTTCGCTCACCTTTGGTCCAGGAGGACCGCGAAGGGTAAACCTCCGCGGTGGATTTTACCCTTAAAAGCCACATGCAAATTGCCCGGAAAGAACGAGTGCACTCCAGTCAAAATGGTACACCTAGGCGGAGGGGGACGAAATCGGATATCAAAGGGGTATACCCGCAGCCGGGGAATCACTGGGGAAAAATTCCAATTCGCTGAAAGCGACCTCTGACGAGTTAAATTCTAAAAACTACGAGATAACGATAAAGCGTTTAAAGATGATAATTTACAGTTTGATCAACTGGAATTTTTGGAGGGTCGATTTCGAGACGAATGGGTTTTTTCGGGGTGGACCTTGGTTACGGGGGAGTTTAGGTAACTGGGAGACGTCAAGATCGAAGACGTTTCCAGGGGTCATTTGACGTCTCGATTTGAATAAATCTTCGGGATAAAACACGAAGAGGCGAATATTAAATTTCT